TTTTTTTTGTCTCTAGGGGTCTTTATGTTTGTTCCTTTTCTTGTTTGTCGCTGTGGTTGTTGTGGAACTTGTGTTCGTTCCTGTCACTATCCATCTTTTACAGGTTGATTCGTCGGTTGTTCAGTAACTTCGGTGCAGTTCTTTGTCGTTGGCGTCGAAGTTCGTTTCAGTTCACCCCTTCTGCGGATTTCATTCGGTCTCCACAGCATGTCTGACCCTCGAGGCAATAACGGGAAGGGCCCCACGGAGTCCTCCTCGGCAACGGGGAAAAGGGCGGAGGGTAGTAGAAAAGGTCACAACACGAAGACCTTTGACTCCCCTTTTAAGGTGGATCCAAAGGCGGGTGGAAAACTAGATGATCCTGTTTGGCATTTCGTTGCTCGTGGTTGTTATTTAGATGGATCCACTGCGGTCGGGAGGAAGAACGGTCGCCGTTGTTTGTGCAGGTTATGCGGTTGTTCTCTATGTGGGGGTGCTCGTGAGGCGAAGGAACACTTTTTTCGTGGCGAGGGGTATAGATGCCACGTGGCCACTCCGGCGGTGTGGCACGCGATTTGGTCAAGGGATATGTCCAAGTGTCCTGCACATTTGGCTTCTGCCGTGCAGGCCTTGCAGAGTCTCCCTCTAGATCATCCCTCTTTTCAATGGCCACCTCTTCGTTTTCCCGATGACGTCGTTCCGCCGCCCCCGTCGACCGCTGCCCCCTCGCAAGTGGCGCCATCTCCATGTGCACCACTTGCTCCACTCCCCCCTCGTCCGCTTCGTCAGACGAGTCCTGCATCCGTTGATGGCAGACCATTTGTGGCAACGCAGCCTGATGCGCAAGGCACCGTGCCAGTTCTAGGTGTCGGGGAACCTGTGCCGTTCAACGAGCAAGGCACTCGTGCTTTCGTCGAGGGCGGTGGGTGGGAGAAGGACGCTGGCACATCATCAGGCCTCGCCCCGTTGTTCACTGGCAACAGGGACAAGGTCCCACGAGTTCGACACGCAGACACACGTCCGACCGTGGCAGGAACACCCGCAACAGGACATCAATCCGCTGCGTATCCATGGTTGCCTCCCCCTCCTTCGCAAACACGACGGCCTACACCAAACTTGACTTCGGCACCTGTTGGCGAGGCCGCTGCAACGGCCCCTGAGGGTGGGGGAAACATCCAGCTCGACGAGCCCGTCCAGGTTTCGGATTCGTCACCCACTCCTGTGCCCGTGAACGACCCGACCTCGCAGCACGGTGTTTTTGGGACACTGGATCCTTTACAGAATCTGCGCAACATTGCAGCTCCGAGTCCAGGCCCCACCGCATCACCTGCGGCCAGGGGCGGGGTGTGGGATTCGCTAGGTATGGGCGCCGGTGCACGAGAGAGGGGCACTTACAGGCAGCAGGCAGTGATCTCGTATTACAACGACCCGCTGGAGCACGCATGGCACCTGCAGATCATGTGATTCATTGTCGAGAGCGGCATGCCGTTCAACTGTGTGAAGCTTGAAAGCTTCAAACACATGTTGACGTTGATCATCCCGCCTGGGGTTCCAGGAGTCCCCACCCCAAAACCCCCAACGTATCACATGATCCGTACCACACTTTTGGATGAGCTTGATGTGGAAGTCCAAAAGTGTGTGCTGCAGCTACCTACGGTTGCACGATAATGACAGACGGTTGGACCAACATTCGGGGCCAAACGTTGTGCAACTATCTCGTCGGCACTACATGGGGCGCCACATACGTCGCGACGGATGTTATGCGAGGAAAGAAGGATGCCACTGCTCTGGCGCAGGCTTGGCTGCGAAGGTTGAAGTCCCTTGACATCAAGCTCGCTGACATCACCGCTTTCGTCACAGACTCTGCCAGTTCGAACGTTTCTGCGATGGAGGTGTTCCAGAAGGATGAGAGTGTGAAGCACATCTTCTGGATTCCTTGTGTGGCACACGTTATGGACCTCATCCTTGAGCACATCGGCGGCATTGACTGGGTGGCGACCCGCATTGCTCAGGCGCGTTTGGTCACAAAGTTTTTCAAGCGTCATAGCCACGCTCGCGAAGTTTTGCAAGCTTTCACGACGAAGGCTCTGCTGCTTCCCGCCGAGACTCGCTTCGGTACGCATGTGATTATGATGCGACGACTTCTTCTGCTGCAATCGCATCTTATGCAGGTGGTCGTTGATGATCGATGGAAGGACACTGTTTGGTCAACGAAGAAGATTCGAGACGCCGCTGCGGAGGTCACAGCATGTGTCGGTTGTCCTCAATGGTGGGAGGATATGAGAGCGCTGTGCAAGTTGTTGGATCCCATCATGGACATGCTGCAGATGGTGGACAGCGACACGAGGCAGATTGGCAAGATTCTGCGTCGGTACGACGAGATGATC